TTCTATCCCTCGATCAACATATATTTCTGGACTCCTTTAACGAGACAACTCTTCTTTCTCGAGAGACTTTTTTTCGAGAAGAGGTCTTCTCGACTCGAGGAATTCCGAATTTTCTCACGAAGAAATAATAATAATAATAATAATTCACGATAAGATTTTCCTCTAACGTTTCGACAACGATTTCGAAAGCGAATAAGATGAATCGGTTAGCCGGGTGGTTGCTTCGGTTGATCGATGGAACCAAATTTTTACGATCTCCTTTATGGAATTTGGCACGCGTTTGACTCGACAAGGATACGACAATTCTGTAAAATCATTTCTAAAATGCAATTCTCCCTGAAAATTTTCATTCCACGAAGGGTGGAAGAAACGGCGCGTCACCGGCACGCGATCCATCGACCTTCCATCGATGCTTCCAAGAAAACGACATCGAGTGACGACATGATTGATCCCGTGCCAAACAGGTGGTTCCTCGTTGGGGTGGGAGGGGGTGAGACAGCGCGGAGAGAAATAGAACCGGGGAGGGGGGGGAGAGGGGAAAAATAGAGAAGAAATCCACATCTCGTGTAATTGGGTCGGAATGTTTCCGCACATCACCAATACGTCGCTCCGCCCACGCGTATACGCCGCATTCTAACCGTGGCCGCCCTTTGCATTCGCAAAGGCGATCGTCAAACCAGCCGTCGAGGCCAGTCATTCGCGTATTTTCGGTTTTCCCGCGGCTAAGTCGTAGCCACGTTCGATAGTAGTGGAGAATCGCGGAGTATCCCTAATCGATTTCGATTTCAATCGCGTACATCTTCTCTGCCCCCTCTCCATCGGGGAGAGATATTCGAGGAACGCCGGCCGCTTTATAAATAGCCTGGAAAATGAAAATCGGCCGCGACGTGATCGCCCACGCGGTTTGGGAATCGCGGTAACATAATATCGGTCGAGGGGTCCGGAAGAGGGCCGATTAAAAATATAACACCGGGTCGTGAAAAATCGGGTCGACCAAAATTAGTGTGGGCTACGAGAAATTCTCGACTCCAAGAAACAACTTGGAAAGGAAAATATCGAGCCGGAAAAGGACCGTTGCGTCCTCCTGAAGAGATTTGGGGACCGAAACGAGAGAGAAGGAAAGACGATTGATTCGGAATTACTCGATCGCTCGATACTTCGAAACCAGCGAAAAATTGTCGCGTCTCGTAAACACCGAGACATACATACACGATATTATTTGTAAGCGGAGATTGATATTTTGGGAGACCCCACGCGAGGCACACGGCACCAATGAACGGCGAACCAACGCCACCGCGAGTGTTTCGCACCGTCGCGAATATCGGGATATCGCCTCCGTTTCCACGCCCCCGTCGCATTTCTTTCCGCCCCCTTCCTCCCTTACTTCGACCACGGTGAGTTATTATATTCCAAGCGTTTCCCAACTTCTTTGGAAACAACAATAGCGGGTCCCCAGCTTCTCGGCATTGGCCTCGGTGAGAGTCGAGGCTGCGAAACGTTGCGCAACGCGTTTTCTACGCGGTTCGCACCACTTTTTTCTCTCTCTTCCCCTTTCACGGAATAAATTCCAAATATCCAGAAAGTTAACCCCGATCTCGCGACCCGATCGTCGTTGTCCCGCGACCAAAAACCGATTCGTCTCGGCCCCGTCCAAAACTCGGATACAACTGACGAACGATGATATTCGAGGAATTCGAGGAAACCCGGACAATTTGCAATCGTGCCATCATCGATCGTTTTTCATGGAACACCTCTGCGCGTTTCTCTCCGACTATTTACACTCGCCATCTGAAACGCTACTCCACGACGCGTAATTTTTTTCACACAACCTTCTCGTTATTAACGAACGAGCGCGCTTGTTCGAGAAAGTTTTAAAATTACGGAGCAAAATTACGATCTTTTGGTTACACCTGGGAGAGGGAGGGTTCGTTCGATCGATAACGAGCACGGATTCGAAACACGTACGACGATGGAACGACGTGTAACGAGTATGTGTGTGGAATAGTGTGCTTCGAAGTAAGCGAGTAAATAATTGGGTGCAACTAACGAGCGTATCCGGAGAGAGACGGGAGGAGCTTTTCCCCTTTTCGATATGCATCATTTACCCAGAAAGCTTTGTTTCGATCCGGTATCGAGTATTGTATCGGCCCCGCACTCACATCCTCCGCGTCCCAATACTCTTCGTCCTCGAACGAGGACAAGGACTTGTACCCCTTCCCCCTCCTCCGCTTCTCG